AGTGTAACATCCATACAACAAATTGCACAGACCACAAGTGTGTAATGTGATGAATTTTTACAAAGTGAATATGCCCAAAAACCCAGCACTCAGTTTGAGAAATAGAACATTAGCAGACCTTTGGAAGTCTCCTTCATTCTATTTTCCTTTCCTGCCACAAGCATTCTTTGACTTTATTCTGCTTTCTAGCACTGTAGCTTAATTTTACTTGTTTTTGGAGTTTATGTAGGTTGTAGGGAACCAGCCCCACACCCCACCCGTGGGTACCCCGAGTTCAGTGGTGACAAAGGAATGAGAAAAAGACAGAGTAAGAGTGAAAGTGAGTTGATTCTTTTGTTTCCTTGGACAAATTTTAAAAAAGAATGAAAGTGGGACGAGGAGACCATCACTTTTTACTGGAGGCAGTGAAGGCCCTGGACTCTGATCTCTCACACTATTTATTGTTTACAATCACTTTGATCTATGGGGTAGAGGTGGAGTGATGGGTGGGGAGAGGGTGACGTGATGGTGGAGTGAATCAGTGAGCCGGAACTGGTGTGTCATTCTGAAGACTGATAACAGTGGTGGTTTGGGAGTTTCACAAAATAAGAACAAACATGGCAGTTATCTTTAGCCTGTTATCTGTATATACAGCTGGTGGAATGAGGGCCTTGCAAGGAGCCTACAAGTCTGGTTACATCTTAGTGCTATGAAGGGATTTTACATCCTTGAGCACAATGTTTATGTAACAGAGCCTGGGTCACCCTGCACCAGAATATGAGGCATGGAGAAGTTTGCTTCCCCAGAGGCTTGCCGCAATTTATTGTTCCTTGTTTATATGCTATTTTTAACCAATTTATGTAGGCACTCTGTAAGTCCTTTCTCCTTTGCTGCTTCCCCCAATGTGAAATTGTAGATTACATGTTCTGTGCCTGTCTTCTTTTGCCGTACATTAGAAGTCATCCACATTATTGTATGTGGCAAAACTTTGTTCATTCCCATAACCTATGGCATTTTACTAGATAAATACACTACACTTTACTTAACCATTGTACCTCTGGTGAACAATTGTGGCATTTCAAAATTTGGGATATTATAAATAATGGAGGAATAAACATTTTTACATGTCTTTTGGTGGACATATGCAGGCTTTTTGCACACTTTCAATAAACTTTAATGAACACCCTGTTTTGCAGGAAGTTCACGTGCCAGTTCACACAGAGTTGCCTGAGTCTGTAACAATTGCATAGAATTTAACTGTATGATGTCTTGTGATGTTTCCCAGTTGGTCATTTAGTCACGTGGCAGAAACCACTAGTTGTTTGCTACAATTCATTCTCCCTTTCTTCTGTGGTAACAGACCCTCCACATTTTAAGCTAGGCAGATGGCTGCCCGAAAAAAAAGATGACCAACATAGGTGCAACCACCTTCCTCAGTTCTCAATAACAGGCTGCAGGTGGAAATATGGCATGGCAGATTCTAAGATCTTTCCTAAAGAGATGCACTTTGCTTTCGTATCTCCCTTCCTCATTGCTGCCTATAAACACATGCCGCCATCTTCCACTTTGGGGTTGTGGCTCATACAGCGGCCACAAGACAGAAGGAATCCAGGACCTGATATAATCAAGTGTTACATTTACCTTAGACTGCCTATCCGGGCTTCAACAAGAGCCACGATGGTTTTTCTACCACTCATAATGGAAATAAATTGTAACATATGAGTTAGTTTTCAATTTTTGCTATTGCATACCATATAGCAGTGAACATTGTACCATATATCTTTTATCTTTTTACATGTCTATTTTGTAGAAAAAAAAATCTACAGGTGGAATTGCTAGGTCAAAAACGAAGAACACTTTTGGCCAGGCACCATGGCTCATGCCTGTAATCCCATCACTTTGAGAGGCCAAGGCAGGTGAATCACAAGGTCAGGAGTTGGAGACCAGACTAGCCAATATGGCGAAACCCCATCTCTACTAAAAATACAAAAGTTAGCTGGGCATGCTACTGGGGAGGCTGAGGCAGGAGAATCGCTTGAATCCAGGAGGCAGAGGTTGCAGTGAGCCGAGATTGTGCCATTGCACTCCAGCCTGGGCAACAAGAGCAAAACTGCATCTCAAACAAACAAATGAAAAAACTAAGCACACTTTAAACTGTAGATACAGCCCAAGTTTATTGCTCAAAAATTATGTTACCACAGACATAAGTGACATTTCTATCTTAAAGATACTGGGGTGAAGTTGCTAAGCCTCTTATATGTAAAAGAAAAACAAAACAAAGGAACCAACGATTAAACCCTAATTTTCTTTTTCACATCCTGGTCGTGGTAAGAAAGGAGAGCAGCTTTTCATTTGAAGAGCCTACTTTTCTTTTTTTTGTGACTTGTCTGTTCAAATGCTTTGGCTACTTTTCCACTGCAGAAGTTCTTTGTAATTATTTTAATCAATATTTATAATATACTTGGCCTTTAACTTTTCTTTTGATTAGCTTTACATTTTTTGATACATAGTAGAGAAAATCTCTTTGCATTCTTATCTAATATAAGGCATTCATACACATTTTTCTTCTAGAAGAAATCTGAAGTCAAGCACTGAAGTTAATAGAAGCTTTTTGCTTTTACAAATTTAATTTGATTAATGTCTTTATGATCATAAAGCAATTACAATTCACATTGCTTTCTGTAATAGAGCTTTCTTTTTGTTGCATAGGTACACATGTGCCATGGTGGTTTGCTGCACCCATCAACCTGTCATCTACATTAGGTATTTCTTCTAATGCTATCCCATGAGAATTCTTTTGAGTTTCATTTTATCTTTTATCTGTCCTTTTAACTCATTGTTTTTATTCATTTTTAATTTTCTGAAAATTACATAGTGGCTGTATCATTGATGCTTAATTCTAATATGTATATCTTATTTTTCTTGTCATATTGCACTGAGAATAAAACCAAAATCGTACTGAATATTCTCAGGAAAGTAATCATGCTTTTTCTCTTACCAACAGAAATCTTTTAGTAATTCATTCTTAAGATGTTTAATGTAGAATTCTTAAAAAAATCAAAACCACAATGAGATACCATCTCATGCCAGTTAGAATGGCAATCATTAAAAGTTCAGAAAACAACAGTTGCTGAAGAGGATATGGAGAAATAGGAATGCTTTTACCCTGTTGGTGGGAGACAGTGTGGTGATTCCTCAAGGATCTAGAACCAGAAATACAATTTGACCCATCAATCCCATTACTGGGTATATACCCAAAGGATTATAATCATTCTACTACAAAGACACATGCACATGTATGTTTATTCACGATAGCAAAGACTTGGAACCAACCCAAATGCCCATAAATGATAGACTGGATAAAGAAAACATGGAACATACACACCATGGAATACTATACAGCCATCAAAAAGGATGAGTTCATGTCGTTTGCAAGGATATGGATGAAGCTGGAAACCATAATTCTGAGCAAACTAACACAGGAACAGAAAAACATAGATCACATGTTCTCACTCATAAGTGGGAGTTGAACAATGAGAACACACATGAACAGAGGGAGGGGAACATCACAGACCAGGGCCTATTGTGGGCGGGGGGCTAGGGAAGGAATAGCATTAGAAATACCTAATGTAGATGATGGGTTGATGGGAGCAGCAAACCACCATGCCATGGCACATGTATACCTGTGTAATAAAAAGAAAGCTCTATTGCAGAAAGCAATGTGAATTGTAATTGCTTTACGATCATAAATAAAATATTTTGGCCACTCTGAGGTATAGGGAGCCAGCCCCTACACCCCACCCATGGGTATCCTGAGTTTGGTGGTGACAAAGGAATGAGAAAAAACAAATTAAGAATGAAAGTGAGACCAGGGTCCATCACTTGTAATGAGGCAGTGAAGGCCCTGAGCTCTGGGTTCCACAATATTTATTAAACACAATCACTTTTATCTATAGTACAGGTGGTAGGGTGAATTGATGAAGGGAGGCTGTGCACCAGACATAAAATTGATAGCAGTGGTCGTGTATGTAGTTTCTCAAGAGCTAAAAGTGTATACTTAGCAATAGACAGTGCAGCCGGTGGGAGCAGGCCTAGCAAGGAGCTTACATGTCTGATTACACTCCAGCGCTTCAAGGGAGTGTTATGTCCTTGGGCACTATGTTTAGAATATCAGAGCTTAGGTCATTCTGTTCCTGGGAACATGCTGGCAATAGAGAGGCTTCTTCCCCAGAGGCCTCCGTGGCCTTCCACAGTTTGTTCCTGATTTCTTTATACATTACTTATAAGCAGTTTATGTAGGCACACTGTAAATCCTTCCTCCATTGCTGCTTCCCCTGACACTGAGGGATGTTCCAGGAACTAGTTCCGGTCTTACTATAGCTACATAACCCTTTCAGTTCAGCAAAAGGGTCAAAAAACCAGCCAGTGTTCAGAACGAACATCCGTTTGAGATTTGTGAGAAGAACACACATCTAAAGTCTAGAAGAACAGGTCCTAGGTGTTCTGGCCATAATGCACTTGTTATTGATACCAAATGATTCCAATGGCCTTCTATGGTATAAGGGCAATACTTCCTGCTGAGACACAAAACCTTGTATAAAGCTTTCTGGTTTTGGCTCCTCATGTAACAAAGATCTAATTCTGGTTAGTTTCTTTCTTTCTTGTTTTTATTCCTCCCAGGGCCTTGACATTTCTCCCTTTAATCTCCACCTATTTCATGCCAAGATAGTCAAGACAACTTTGTAAAAAGATTTTTAGAGACTATCTCTTTTAAGATTATAAGAAGACAGGACTGCGGCCCGTGGCTCGGGCGGCTCCAGCGGCTCCCGCTCCCGCTTCCCGCTTCCCGCTCGCCCTCAGTCCCAGCTGGCACCCACGGGGCCGCATCGTCGCCTGGCTCTGCCCATGCCTAGGGCCTCTGCTCCCTCAACTGCCGCCGCCGCCGCCGCCGCCACCGCCACCGCCCAGGGGGCCGCCGGGGCCGGGGCTGGGGGTGCAGCGCGGCCGGCGTAGGTCTATGTCACGGGCGGCGGTAGCCGCCACAGAGGGACGATGAGCGAGGACAAAGTGGTGGTGCTGGGCTCGGGCGGGGTAGGCAAATCCACCCTGACCGTGCAGTTCGTGACTGGCACCTTCATCGAGAAATACGACCCCACCGTTGAGGACTTCTACCACAAGGAGATCGAGGTGGACTCGTCGCCGTCGGTGCTGGAGATCCTGGACACGGCGGGCACCGAGCAGTTCGCGTCCATGCGGGACCTGTACATCAAGAACGGCCAGGGCTTCATCCTCATCTACAGCCTGGTCAACCAGCAGAGCTTCCAGGACATCAAGCCCATGCGGGACCAGATCGTCCGCGTGAAGCGGTATGAGAAAGTGCCAGTCATCTTGGTTGGGAACAAAGTGGACCTGGAAAGTGAGAGAGAAGTATCGTCCAATGAAGGCAGAGCTCTTGCTGAAGAATGGGGCTGCCCCTTTATGGAGACTTCTGCTAAGAGTAAAATAGTGGTGGACCAACTCTTTGCAGAAATTGTGAGGCAGATGAACTATGCTGCTCAGCCTGACAAAGATGACCCATGCTGTTCGGCATGTAACATACAGTAGCATCCAAATATGGCTGTCCTGGATGGGATTAGCCCAATGTTGTAGGTGATAGAAAACTCACCTACTCCTCTGCAGGACACACAGGATGTGTGGTGTTAATCTACAGAGAACTGCAGCCCTTATTCAGAATTGAGCAGTGATTGTCAGTTGATATCTCTGAGTAACATTTGGGTTCAGTTACTACAGTTTTCACTATTTGTCCTCAGTCTCCTTTCTGCATCTGCAACTTTAAGGCATAGTCCATGGATCTACAGGGTGACCTCATTTGAAAGCTATGATGGCATTGTCGCTGAGTTGACAGAAGCAATTATTGTATATATTAAAAATAACCATAAGGGAGAAACCAGAAGATTCCTATGACCACTTACAATTAAAATATTTTGTCTTCTTTAAAAAAATAAGTAAAGGAGAAATATTTTCCCACAAGAGTACTGAATTTCAGGAAATGGGATAGAGCTTCTAAACAATGTATCAAGTAAGATAAGAACAGCTGACTTGCCAACAGCATTACAGGGAGAGATTCTTTGCTCAGCTAATACATTTCTGTTTTTCAAAATTGATGCTTAATTGTAGCTGTTATTCTAATTTGTGACATGGAACTAACTCATGCTTCAATCCTTGATAGAGCAAAAGTCAGAACAGGTTATGTAAAAATACAGTCTAGCTTTAGAATTTGTTAAATCGCCTGCTTTGCCACAGCAAATGGAGGCTTTCACAAGGTTTTGATCAGAATTAAACTCCAGACCCACACCTTTTAACTGAACAGGGGTGGTCTTTATAACTTTACTGAACAAGAGGGAAGCAACTGTGATGGGAAGAGAGTGCCCAGCCTTACTAACGAGAAGCATTCTAATAGATACACTAGTACCATCATGTAAGGAAAATGGAGCCATGTTGCATCCACATGTTCCCGTTTGCAGAAACCTCACAGGACAATACGAATATCTGGCATTTTTAAGTTCGTTAAAGCAGCAAATTCCTTCTCGCCTCTAAGGGCTATGGTTGTAGTGTGACCTGTAGCTAACCTGCTTTCAAAATCAAGTTTGCTGTAGCAGAGCTTTATTGCAGGCATTTTAAAAATGGAATAACCATGTGAAATAATTTGAGCTTAAAAATAGAACATAAATTATAGAGTGGAAGGTAAAGGACAAAAGCCTTTTATCTTTAATTTTTCCTGGAGAATTATATAAAGGTTTTCTTAGAACAATTTAGCCCGGATTACTGAAGTATCAAATAAAGCTGGAGTGAATATTTTGTTTTGAAAAGGTGCTCAAGCTCTGACATATTTGGTTTTTACAGCCGTGAAGTATTTATCATTTGCATGACTAATGGCACAGGAAAAAACCTATTCATAAGTTTTACAATCAAGTATAGAAGGGTCTTCAGCTAACTTCAGTTATAAATGCTGAAAAGATTACCTTGAGCTGGGCCTTGGGAGAAGAATCTGGCCTTCAGAACTGCAATATCACTGAGCCTGCGATCTATATGCCACCCCACATTTTGTTGGTTTCACAGTTTGTGCAAGTAACCTCTGGTCTTATGTGTGTAACTGAGAGATGAGTGTGTGTTTGTGTGTGCATGTGTGTTTCTTGTTCCTAAGAATTTGGCACAAGTCAGAGATAATTGCCTATACTAAGAATCTATACTGCAGAATATAGTGTATCAAAAGCTTTTTTTCTATTAAATTATTAAAGTGTCTTTTATACTATTTTGAAATCATTGGTAGCCCCCCAAGTGTTTAATAACTGGCATTAAGCTTAAAGGATGAAGGAAAAAAGGTTGATAGTATTTTTCATCATGAGAAAGCTGAAGGCACATGTGAATGAAAGCCGGCCAGAGTTTTCAAAAATCTTTGAATTTTGAATGTTTACATTCTTCAGTATAATTTTTTATAATCCTCAATTATGAAGCACCTTGTTTATAAGACAAAAAATTTTAACCAATTTTATTGAAACAAATTTCACTGCGTAAAGTTGGTTTGATTCAAACGCACAGAAATTGGAGATTCAAGAGATACAATTTCTCTACTGAAATAAAAGTATTTCTGAGTTGGTTGAGTTCTGAATCCTGTCACTTCTCAGAATGATTCTTTCTTTAGAATTCTATAATTAATAGAAATTTTTGACAAGTAAGATTGCAAAATAAAAATATCTATAAAGATCCCACAGTTTGACATGATGGCTTGCTATGACATGAAAATAGGTTAAATAATATGAAAGGTATGGGAGAATGTCAAGTGGAAAAGATGATCTAAAATTCTGAGTTGTATTACTAGTTTTAAAAACGTGTGCCAGATGACAAGGCGGGCTTTTACTGTAAAGACGTGAATAATAACCCATCTGGCTGCCTGATCAGTGTCCCTGCAGCCCTGCATATTTAGTGACCAAGGCATCAAGGACATCCTGAAACTGGAAATTTGTATTCATCTGGTGTGAATATAACTCAGCTGGCAAATGAATGTGTTTGTTGAGATATTATAGTAATAAAACGCTTAAGAACAGGAAGATTACATCTGTTGGCTACAGAAGAAACCTTAGCGGCTACAAAAGAAAGCTGACTTGGGTCACTATTTTATGCCCTGATCAGACTAGCAACTTAGATAAGTGAAAGTTTTTCTAACATGCCTTAAAAATATTACGGTTTGATCCAAAGACCCACTTTTTCTTTAGCTCTTGTGACAAGATTTTCTTTTATTTTTTACTTTTATACAAAGGCAGCATCTTTAAAATTTGTTTTCTTTTGTTGTTGCACCTTTTGGGTTTTTTTAAACTGTGATAGTGATGGTAATTGATGCCTTTCATTTTGTTCAACTTTCACAAAACAAGCCAGCATCTGATCAAAAGTATTACATAAAATCTTTAACTATTGAAAGGTGCTTTGATGATTTTCTCCTTTGGTTTGTAGAATTAGGACTGAACTTTTGACTCAAATTGCTACAGTTGCCATCACTTTTCGGTGGTAATACTACTGATATTTGCTTTTCTATATAAAGAAATGTTGCCTAAGGCTGTCTGGTATTTGTTTTCAAGGGTTTTCCCGTATGAATGTTAATGTTGTCAGTGTATGTATGAACATGAAAGTGCTTTGTTTGTTGCTGGTTTTTGTTTGTGTGTATGGTTTTTTTTTTTTTACGTTTTTGTTCTTATCAGTAGTCTTTGTTAGCACTGGGTAAGCTTTAATTGTCCCTCAGCCAATCAAACTTTAAGGACTATGGGGGTCTTTTTTTTTTTAATTTAACATGTCATTGTGCATCTATTAAATCTTGATCAGAGTTTCAAGAATGACTGCAGTGGGTTTTGGAAACAGACTTATCATTATTGATTTGAGGTTTCCCAGAGATATAGTTCACAGTTAATTGCTGTGCTCTAATACAACTGACCATTTAAAATTGAACGAGAGTTTATTGTTTTGTAACAACGTCAGTTGTTAAATCTTGAAGACATTTCAATTAAAACATGAATTGTAGCCATAACTCAATGCAAATTCAACAGTTGTATTTGGAGTTAAATTACTTTAACAAATAAATTTATTTAATGAAAAAAAGATTATAAGAAGACAGGAAGTAACAGTTTGTCCTCTAATGTATCTTCTAAAGTGAAACTTCACTTTTTTTCTTTTCTCTAAGAATTACCACCAGAATATAATCCTAAAATTTAATGGTTGAGAGACTTGACTATAGAATTTACTTTCTGTTAGGGCTTCCTGCTAACCCAGATGAATTTGCTCTGAAAACGGCAAATGCTTCCCCCACCCACCTGAGGATGGAAGAGTAAGGTGCACTCACATGCTGAAGATAACTTGAGGTTTTATAATTGCCTAGTGGCAATGATGTGTTGAATTCAAGTAGGTGAAACAAGTAACTTCTGGTGCAGGTACTTATGTCGGTAATTGGCTTATTCCTTGACACCAATGTTTTGGCCTTGTTTGGTGACCTGGTCATTGAATTGATCCTTTCTTGCTATTCAGACTGCTTCTGATCCCTCTGAGAGCCAGAACCATCTGGATGGCTCATATGACATTGGTCAGAAAGGTCCCTGATCTTTAAATACATCAGTTCAAGCGCAGTCAGAAGATGAGTTGGGGAGATGAAAGGTGGCTCCCTTTGGGAGGCTGAAGTGGGTAGACAGCTTGAACTCAAGAGTTCGAGACCAGCCTGGGCAACATGGAGAAACCCATCTCTATGAAAAACGACAAAAGATTAACCAGACTTTGTGATGCATGCCTGTAGTCCCAGCTACCCAGGACGCTGAGGTGGAAGGATCACTTGAGCCCAGAAGGTCAAGGCATCAGTGAGCTGTGGTTGTACCACTGCACTACAGCCTGGGCAGCAGAGTGTGACCCTGTCTCAAAAAAAAAGACTAACAAACCAAAAAGAATTCAAATAGGCCCCTCCAGGATTAACCATTTGTCTACCAAAAGTAAGACATCTACATCTTGGCAGTACTTGATAAAGGTAGGAAATTATCACATCACATTCTGTTACAGTTTGGGGGCCACTTCTAAAAAAGCTTAATGCAACACTGTCACAAGAAAAGATAATGTGCTACCAGTGCTATTATATGAGTGAGAGAAGGGAACAATTAATGTGATACAGCCTCTTCTCACTAGCATCTAAGGACATGAAACCTATGCAGCATACCCGTCCCTCTCCCATCCACATGGAATCAGTCATTCACCATGTCCTTATTGACTTAACAAATTATCCATATACAATGTGGTTATGTTAGAAAGTGCAGATAAGAAAAGATACTTTACTGATCTCATAACTCATATAATATCAGGTGTCTTCAAGGTCAAGTGTTCTTGTTCCAGTTGTAATTGCTGCATAACAAACCACCCCAATCTCAGTGGCATATGATTGTATTAAAATAATGACATTTGTATTCCCAGATTTTATAGTTCAGGAATTTAGTTTGGACACAGGGCAGACTTATATGTCTGCTATGGCCACATCTGAGACATTTGCTTGGAAGACTCAAAGATTAGGTGTGACAGCAGCTTGGAGCAGGAATCATCTGCATGCATCTTCATTTATATTCCTGGTAGTTGTTGCTGATTATTGGCTGGGACCTCAGATGGATTACTGGCCAAATTGCCTCTGCACAACCTCTGCACATGGGTTATTCTGTCCTCCTCATAGCAGGAGGTTACAAGCAGTATAGCAGCTGGGTTACAAGAAAAAAATGTCCTAAGTAGGAAAGGCAGAAGTGTGAGGTGTTCTTATCACCTAGCCTTGGAGGGCACATGACATTACTTCCATTATACACTATGGGTCAAAATTCTGCCCAACTTGACGCTATAGGCTTTTCTTTCGGGGCTCAGAATAAAAAAGCTGAACAGCCTCTGCCTGTTTATCTCTTATTCTTTTGCAGGAGTTTTGTGTTACATACAAAGAAAAATGTAAAGATATTGTCCTGTTTCCCAGTTACCGAAGTCAACGGTGAACAAGAGGCATTTATATCCC